ATTACTATATCCTGTCCTTTAGCTATTATATAAGTTATGGATTACTATATCCTGTCCTTTAGCTATTATATAAGTTATGGATTACTATATCCTGTCCTTTAGCTATTATATAAGTTGTGGATTACTATATCCTGTCCTTTAGCTATTATATAAGTTATGGATTACTATATCCTGTCCTTTAGCTATTATATAAGTTGTGGATTACTATATTCTGTCCTTTAGCTATTATATAAGTTGTGGATTACTATGTCCTGTCATGTAATTATCATGAGAGTTTTTGTATTACAATGCCCTTTCCTTTAGATTTTGAGTTATTAACTACCACGTCCTGTATTCTAACTACTATATCAGTCATGGTTTAAAATGCTCACTCCTGTAGCTATGATGTGAGTTGTGAATTACCATGTTATATCCTTTAGCTATTATAACAGTCATGGACTACAATACTCATCCTGTAGCAATATATACGAGTTTTGAATTACCATGTCCTGTCCCGTACATATTACGTGAGTTGTGAATTTTAATGACCACTCCTATAACTATTATATGAGTTATGGATTGGAACATCCACTGTTATAGTTATTATATGACTTATGTACTATCATGTTCTGCCCTGTATCTTATATATATGTCAAGGATTACAATGACCACTGTTGTGGCTATAACGTGAGATATGGATTAGATTGCCAAGTCCTGTAGCTATTATCACTAAGCACAGTATGGCTTAATATGTAGGGATTGGCCGGAAAAAAAATGGCCGCCGCATATTATGTATTGCTCATCACAATTTCAAATCTCTCTTATTTTAAATGCAATAGTACTTAATAGTAGGAATCGACAAGGATTCCAAATAATTCACGCGTCGACCCCCCCACCCCATTGAATTCCTCACCGAAAAATCGACCATTTAAAGTATTGGTTACGATATATTATGTGCACATACACTAATAATACGCTAAAAAGGTCGTTAACATTTCCAGTATAAAAATTCAAAAATTTATAAAAAAGTAACTTTTTCGTCTACTACCTACCTAATCATGTCAGCGGAGCTAGAACCTAGATGGCCCGGACTATCGCTACAAGATTTCTCCAGCTTACTTGACTGGTTAGTGGGTATCCGCTTTTTATATTCAGATACAAATCCACACATATACTGGTATAATACAAATGGTAAACATATCATGCACGTACTTAAATATCTTTTCAACCCAATTTAACCCAACAGATGGCATTACTTATCTATGGATAGACACGCGACGATTTCTAAAGGTAAAGTATATACTTTATACAGGTATAACATAAAAAGTAAACAAACAAGAGTATTAACAAATTATGAATTTAAAATGAAGTAGGGATCCTGCTAAAAGAGAAATGAAACAAGAATTAAAACCACAATCACAAATTTATAAAATTTAATCCCTACTTTGGTAGCTTTACACACTTATCTGTAGGTTTGTTTGTTTGTTTTTTGAATTTCGCGCAAAGCTACACGAGG